TTGTCTTTAGATCTGGTTTCTTCTTTATTATTAAATCACTTAGTTTATTTGTTACCCCTCCTTTAAAAAGCACAAAAATGATAACTTTAATTTAGAGGCAAAGAGTCTAAAGGATTCTTACAGGGAGTAGAAAAGAAAATGTCTGAACTGTATAAAGGCCGAGAACTGTATGTTAGGGGTCATCGCTGTGTTTGTGCCATGAATTCCTTTGGCATCTGGTGCAGCCTCTCGACTTCTTCTCAGAATAATGTTTTTAAATGCATGAATTAAAATATATAGGATTACTAAGGAAAAAATAATGAAATATAGTTATTAAAACATTTAAAGAACAAAGATATGATATTGTAATCAATATATAATGCTTTTTACTAACACTTATATAATAAGATCTAGTATCAGAAATAATAACTATGGTGATTTCAGAGCAGTGTGTCTTTGACTACTCAGGCTGCCATAACAAAGTACCATCAGCTGGGGGCCTCACATAAAAGAAATGCATGTATCTTCTCACAGTTCTGGAGGCTGGAAGCCTGAGATCAGGGTGTCAGCATGGACTTTGCTTCTTGCTTACAGAAGATCACCATTTCACTGCGTGCTTACATGCTCACATGTCCTTTCCTTGGTTCTTCTACATGGGGGAGGAAGGAGGTGGGAAGGGGAGAGAGGGATCTCTTCCTTTTCTTATAAGGCCTTCAAGTCCTGTCTGATTAGGGCCTCACCCTTATGACTTAATTTAACCTTGATAAACTTAAAGTCCCATCTCCAGTTACAGTCACATTAGAGATTAAGCCTTCAGTATATGAATTCGGAGGGACAGTTTGGTCCATACATAATGATAAGCATAAGTGATATTTTAAAACATCTTCAACAAAGTTTAGTATGAAATAAAAATAGCTGTGATCTGTTGGTAACAGAGCCACAGACGCTGCTGCTAATAAGTTTGTTGCCTACATTCTTTATGGAAGGGAATTCTTAATTTCAGGTAGAGGTTAATGAAAATAAGGTTTTCCCCCCATTCTAGTTCATTTACACCCTGAATTTCTATATAAGGACTCCCAGGTTAAGAACCCCTGCCTGATACATGCAAGTAAGATATTCTTATTGTGAGGAAACGAGTGGCATAATCCCTAGATAGCGGGAACCGATTCTGAAATCAGGTGATTCTACCCATTGCCAGTTACTAAGGAACAGTTCAATTCAGTTGCTGAGTCATGTCCGACTCTTTGCAACCCCATGGATTGCAGCACTCCAGGCTTCCCTGTCCATCACCATCTCCCAGAGCTTGCTCAAACTCATGTGCACTGAGTCGGTGATGCCATCCAACCATCTCATCCACTGTCGTCCCCATCTCCCCCTGCCTTCAACCTTTCCCAGCATCAGGGTCTTTTCCAATGAGTCAGTTCTTCACATCAGGTGGCCAAAGTATTAGAGCTTCAGCATCAGTCCTTCCAATGAATATTCAGGACTGATTTCCTTTAGGACTGGCTGGTTGTATCTCCTTGCAGTCCAAGGGACTCTCAAGAGTCTTCTCCAACACAGTTCAAAAGCATCAGTTCTTTGGCACTCAGCTTTCTTTATGGTCCAACTCTCACATCCATACATGACTACTGGAAAAACCATAGCTTTGACTCTACAGACCTTTGTCGGCAAAGTAATGTCTCTGCTTTTTAACATGCTATCTAGGTTGGTCATAACTTTTCTTCCAAGGAGCAAGCATCTTTTAATTTCGTGGCTGCAGTCACCATCTGCAGTGATTTTGGAGCCCAAGAAAATAAAGTCTGCCACTGTTTCCATTGTTTCCCCATCTATTTGCCATGAAGTGATGGGACTGGATGCCATGATTTTCATTTTTTTAATGTTGAGCTTTAAGCCCGCTTTTTCACTCTCCTTTTTTACGTTCATCAAGAAGCTCTTTAGTTCCTCTTTGCTTTCTGCCGTAAGGGTAGTGTCATTTGCATACCTGAGGTTATTGATATTTCTCCCAGCAATCTTGATTCCAGCTTGTGCTTCATCCAGCACCAAGGAACAGTGAGTGTGTTAACTGAAAAAAAAATATCATTTGCTCTTGCCTTGCTTTCTGCTATTTTAAAATATGTGTTTGAGGATTGGAATGTGTTTTGTCTTGCAGATAACAGTAGCCTAAATACTGAGCAAAATGATTCCTGGACCTCTGAGAACTCCTGGCTTTACCGTTCTGTGAAGGGCCAACCAGAAACCAAGGAAGAGGATGATGGACTTCGGAAATCTCTGGATAAATTCTATGAAGTATTTGGCAATCCACAGCCAGCATCTGGAAATCCACTCTCTACATCTGTCTGCCAGTGCCTGTCTCAGAAAATCAATGAACTGAAGGACCAAGAGAACCAGAAGTACACCCTCCGCAGTTTTCAAATTGCTCGGGTCATCTTCAACCAGAATGGCTGCTCCATCTTACAGAAACATTCCAGGGACGCCCACTTCTACCCGCTCAGAGAAGAAAGTCCATCTCTACAGGATGAAAAGCTGATGCCAGGACTTTCAAAAGATATTATTCATTTCCTCTTGCAGCAGAACTTGATGAAAGACCAGTAACTGGTGCCTGGTGGTGAGAGCAGGTGTGTGGGGGCAGGAGGGAGGTATCCCTGTGGCCAGTACCATTGGTGCATCTCCCAGAACCCATCAGGTCTCTTGCCAGCTTGGTGTGCCCAGCCCCCAGCTAAGTGCTTTGCAGGCCAAGGCTGGCATCTGTGATCTGGTCCTGGAGCCAGTCTAGCCCAGATGGAGAGCTGGCAATGTCTGGTGGTTTTATTGCCTTTAGGCCATCCCTTTGACCTAAGGCCAGTGACCCAAACCACCCAAGTGGTTTGGGAGTCCAAAAGTCCATCTTCCTTCTTTCCAGGAAGGACATGCTCTGAGGCATGATTCAAGCTCAAGAGCTCCCCTCCTGGTCAGGTCAAAGCTGGCGTTTCACTATCTCACCCTTTCCTGGCTCCTTCGTTTCCCCGCCCTCCTCTCATTCAATTACTGGTGTCTCCTGGGAGTATTTCCATAATAAATCTCCTATACCTCAACCCTTGACTCAGAGTCTGCTTCTGGAAGAACCTGACCTAAGAGAACAGTCTTCCATTTGATGAGTTTTTTGGTTTGTTGGTTTTTTTTTTTTTTGGGCCCCACTGACTAGGGATAGAACCTGGGCCCCCTGTAGTGGAAGTGTGGAGTCTTAACCACTGGACCGCCAGACAAGTCCCTTGATGAGTTAGGTGTTTTGAAGGGTACAAAGCCTTATGCTGAATCAAATATAAGAATTCAATAAAGTTGTAAAACTATGACCATGTGACTGTGAACGTGTGTCTCCAAATAATTTAAATATGTTTCCAAAAGGTCCATCACATCTTAATCATACCTTTGCTTCTCCAACGCCAGAGTTTCCTGTTTTATACTCACTGGGTATGGAAGGAACATTTGAACCATCTCAAATAAGAGCTAAGATTCGCAAATTAAAAGGAAAAAAGTCTGTTCATCTCCACCAGATTGTAAATGTGAGAGATGAGAAAAAAACAAATGTGCACCACTCACCAAAGTATGTGTAAACTCATTTATGATATACTAGATTGATGGGTGCAGGCTTGTCAACTTGTGGTGGAAGAGGAAAAGGAATCCTTTGCCCAAGTGGACTCCTTCCTCTGATTTTTGCTTCCACCTGCCTGTTGCCCACACACTCTGTCACCCTCTGAACAACTGGTGCCTCACCCCTGTCCTGCCCTTGTTTGGTCAGGAGCAGCTTCATTTTTTTAAAAAGTTTTAATTAAAAAAATTTTATTGATGTATAGTTGATTTACAGTGTTGTGTTAGTTTCAAGTATACACCAAAGTGAAGCAGTTACCCATATACGTATACCCACTCCTTTTTAAATTCTTTTCCCATGTAAGCCATTACAGAATATTGAGTGGAGTTCTCTGTGCTCTACAGTAGGTCCTTATTAGTTATTTATTTTATATATAGTAGTGTATACATGTCAGTCTCAATCTTCTAATTTGTCCCTCCTCCTGCACCCTTCTCTATGTCTCTGCTCTATTTCTGTTTTATAGATGAGTTTATTTGTACCCTTTTTTTAGATTCCACATATAAGTGATATCATATAATATTTGTCTTTCTCTGTCTGACTTATTTCATTCAGTATTACAATCTCTAGGTCCATGTTGCTGCAAATGGCATTATTTTGTTCCTTTTTAAGGGGAATGGCTTTTAAATAGCCCAACCAAGCCTGTGCTGGTAGGTTCTCTGTTCTTCAGCTGCATCCTTAAGGTTTATTTGAGATTCATTTGGTGGAAGGACATCTCCCAGCACCGAGCTCCCTGAAATTGTAATCGGAAGCCTCGTGCTAATCCCTCCCTCAAAGGTCCTTGGAACAAATTGCACTTAAGTGTTCTATCACTTGACAGGGGGACTATGAGAAAAGCCAGCAACACTAAGCAATTAGATTTTGAGAAACTCTAGGGGAAATTTAATTAGCATAAGACTCCATAGGTCTCCAGAAAGCAGAATATGCACATAGATCAGCTTACATGTGTATGTTAACAGTGAATGAGGGTGCCCTCTCAAACCAGATGTCTTGCAGATTCTTGACTGGAGAGAGAAGCCTTTTAAAAGTTTGGAATTACACAATATGGCTTCCAGTTCCGGGAGAAACAAATGTGGGAACAGTATCCACCTCAAAATACAGTACCACTGGAACGAGACCTAACAGGAAGGAAATAGGAAATGAACAGTCCTTTGAGAAAACAGGACTTCAGATCTTTCTCTGACAACCAGTTATCTACATTTTCTCCATGGGCTTTTCCTATTCAACTGGCCCCCCAATAATTTTCAAACCATGATGACTTATATTTGAAAAACTACAGGTTGAATTTTGAAGTTGCTAGTTTTATTGTTTTTTAATGTGAAGTTAATCCATAGATGCCCTTGACTGCTATTGTTGTTTTTGTTCAGTCACTAAGTTGTATCTGACTCTTTGCGACCCCATGGACTCAGCACACCAGGCTCCTCTGTCCTTCACTATTTCCCAGAGTTTGCTCAAATTCACATCCATTGAGTTGGTGATGCTATCTAACGATCTCACCTTCTGTCACCCTCTTCTCCTTTTGCCTTCAATCTTTCCCAGCATCAGGGTCTTTTCCAGTGAGTTGGCTCTTCCCATCAGGTGGCCAAAGTATTGGAGCTTCAGCTTCAGCATCAGTCCTTCCTATGAATATTTGCATTTGGCTTCCTGTAGGATTGACTGGTTTGATCTCCTTGGAGTCCAAGAGTCTTCTCCAACACCACAATTCAAAAGCATCAGTTCTTCATCACTCAGCCTTCTTCAGAGATTCCCTGATAGCTCAGTTGGTAAAGAATCCACCTGCAATGCAGGAGACACCTCAGTTCGATTCCTCGGTTGGGAAGATCCCCTGGAGAAGGGAAAGGCTACCCACGCCAGTATTCTGGCCTGGAGAATTCCATGGACTGCATAGTCCATGGGGTTACAAAGAGTCAGACACGATTGAGCAACTTTCACTTTTTAGCCTTCTTCATGGTTCAGCTCTCACAAACTTACATGACTACTAGAAAAACCATAGCTTTGACTATATTGCCCTTTGTCAGCAAAGTGATGTCTTTGCTTTTTAATATGCTGTAGTTTTAAGCATATTCAGTCACTGAAGTATTGGAGATTACTTTCCATGGCTATCAACAGAAGGAAACTAGATTATTTTATACTGTTCTTAAAGGACAAAAAGATATAAGGTATTTGAATTTCCATACTAAGAAGTAGCCACTTCTATTTGGTGGTGAGATTTTAGTATCAGTGACTTTGTAACTTTGATTAATATCAGTGCTGTGGGTGTTCAGAAAAAAGGTAAACTCTGAAAGCAGAGAATTTAGAAGTCTAAAAGCCAGAATCACTTCAGGATTAAAAAAAATAAAAACAGTGTGGTGTGTGCTTTCTTATATCTGAGTAAGTGCTTTTGACAGGTCAGTACAAAATATTTGTTTCCCTGCAATCTCACTCCTTAATTTGATCTTCATGCTGTGAGGATGGCCTTTTGCCTTTTCCATTTATCTCTGTTCTCCTTTAATAGAGACTAAGAGATAAGGATATTAAGACTCTGGTCTGTGGCATCATTGTCTAATTCCGCCCTACAGATCACTTCATTGACATCTTAGCCATTGAACATTCTATCTAGGATATCACCTTTGGTCCATTTCAGAAGTCTATGGGAGGATGGATTTGCTTGTAGAAACCTCCGAACTATAAGGAGGAGAAACATATTTTAATATATTTGTGTAACTCTTTTTCACTTTACTAGTCTGTTTCTTTGCATGACATATGTATGTAATAGATCATATTACTGGTAATTAACAAAAAACAATACAGTGATACTTTTTAAAGTTTTCAAATTTCAGTTTTTAAATTTTTTATTGGCTTTAGTCATACAGAAGAGTGGTTATAAATGAACATCTTGAAGATTTTTACAAAAAATCTTTTACAGTGGTCAACCAGCATCCCACTCAAGCAACAGATATTACCAGCTAGCCTTGAGTGGAGATTTTCAAAGAACTAATTAGAATAGTTTGCTCAGATCAGTGTTTCTCAAACTACTGGTAGTATACAAAAGAACTTTAGGTGCCGCTAGATGGACAATGTTTATTTTCATTGTTATCTATTCAATTTATGTTGGAAAAATAAAACTACTATGTCAGATCTATACTTTCACAGATATTACATGTTGTTGTTCAGTCACTAAGTCTTGTCTGACTCTTTGCAACCCCATGGACTATAGCACGCCAGGTTCCTCTGTCCTCCACTATCTCCTGGAGTTTGCTGAAATTCACATCCATTGAGTTGGTGATGCTATCTAACCATCTCACCCTCTGTCACCCTCTTCTTTTGCCTTCAATCTTTCCTAGCCCCAGAGTCTTTTCCAATGAGTCAACTCTTCACATCAGGTGGCCAAAGTAATGGAGCTTCAGCTTCAGCATCACTCCTTCCAGTGAATATTCAGGGTTGGTTTCCTTTAGGATTGACTGGTTTGATCTCCCTGTAGTCCAAAACTACATGTTTTTTTGTTTGTTTTTCAGCAGAAACTCCTGTATATCCAGGCTCCTCCTTATCTCTTGGAACAGTTCCCCAGAGCTATCTGAGAGGCTGCCTTCCCAGGCTATAGTCCTTAGTAAGGTCTCTGAATAATTTTTTTTCCAGTGGTCAGTATGAATAGCTGCTTGATGTAAGTCATCACAGAAATGCAGTTTTAAAAAAGTGTTGCCGTTTTAGAGTCTATATGATTGGTAAGAAACTGAAAAGATCAATCCTGATAACAAAGATGTGGGGACATGGCAGTCCGGAATGAAAACACATATCACAATTTGCATTTGAGTAAGTAATGAAAAATTAGAAATATAGACCCAGCCTTGCCACATGCCCCTTCCATGCTTCTTGTTGCCCTTGGACTAGCAGCTGGTCCTGCCCATCCCATCGCTTTGCCTTTGCTACAGCCACAGTGACTTCTCAGCTGCTAAACTTGGCCACCTCCTTAACCAACAGTTTTTGGATAAGACCATGAATTCCTTAATAAGGCTAACCGTCATTTCAAACACCCCTGTTACTGGCCCCATTTTACAGATGGGGAAACAGGCACAGAAAGCTAATAGATAGTGGAAGAAGTACCAGAGCCCATACCTAACGCCGAGCTATCCTTCTCAGCTCCCTGCTCCAAAACACTAACCTTCCCCCTACCCCAGGGCCATCCACAGCATGCCTTTCTCAGAGAAGCCTTCGTACTCCCTCCACCTCCGACCACAGCTGAGAGGGGCTACCTTCCATGTAGTCCGACAGCACTGAGCATCACCTTCACAGCTTGACTTCTCCAAATGAACGTAATAATGTGCAATGTAGTACAAGGCTTAAGTCTTCTCCCACCTCCCCATCTCCCACCCCCACCAAAGGAATGAGAGCTCTATCTTGTTCACCCATGCCTAGCGTGTCCAGGTTGGCAAACGGTGATGCTCATTTATATTTATAAAATAAAATGTAGAAGAACATCTCTAGTGCTTAGAGATGTGTACTAAAGAATTCAGCAGTAAAATGTCATAATGGTTGTAATTTACTTTTAAATACTTAAATGGAAGCAAGATGAAGCAGGTATGATCAATTTCATTTGTATGCTGCTTTGTATACTTCCAAATAAATGACAAGCCAGTTTGCTTTTGTCTGCATTTTGACTTAAAACATTTTTTTTTTCCATTTTCTCTCTCTGTTCCCTTTCCCCTAGGTCACTTTGTAGTGGTTGACTCTCTCAGACTGCACTTTCTCTCACAGAGGAAAACCACTTTCCGTACCTATCAGAGAACACAATCTCCATGAGCAAGTTTACATTCAGAGAAAGCCTTTTTTTTTTTCCTTTAATTTTTGTTTTTTCTTGGAGTATAGTTGATTTACAATCCACAGTATGTATATTTTTAAAACATTATACAGCTTAATAGAAAAGCAAACATACAACCCAAATAAAAAATGGGGAGAGGATATGAGTAGACATTTTTCCAAAGAAGACATGCAGATGGCCAACAAGTATAGGAAAAGATGCTTAACATCACTAGTCATCAGTGACATCACAGCTGTCACTCATCATTGCAATTTGCATTTGTAAAATGCAAGTAAAATCTACAACAAATACCACCTCACACCTATAAGAATTGTGATTACCAATTCTGTGTGGAAAAGACATGGAAAAAAGGGAATCCCTATGTACTACTAGCAGAAATACAAATTAGTGTAGCCACCATGGAAACAGTTAGGTGGTTCCTCAAAAAATTACAACTAGAACTACCATGTAACCCAGCAGTTCCACTTCTGTATCCATCCAAAGGAAACAATAACACTATCTTGAAATGTATCTGCACCCCAGTGCTCAATGCAGCACCACCCACAAAAGCCAAGACATGGAATCAACAAGAGTTCATAAAGAAATGAATGGATTTTTTTAAATGTGGCATATATACAATCAAATATTAGTCATAAAAAGAAGGAAATCCTGTCATTTGTGACAACATAGATGGATCTTGAGGGCATCACACTAAGTGAAATCAGAGAAAGCAAATACCAGTACTGTATAATCTCACTTGTATGTGAAATCCCCCTCCAAAAAAAATGAAACTGAAGCCATAGAAAGAATAGACTGATGGTTGCCAGAGGCAGTGGGTGAAATGCGTGAAGGTGGTCAAAAGCTATACGTGTCCAATTCTAAAATAAGTCATGGGGGTGTAATGTACAGCATAGTGAGTATAGTTAATAATACTGTATTACATAATCGAAAGTTTCTGAGAGATTCTTTTTTTGCAATCTTTTACTGTTAATTCTCCATTAGGATATGAAAGGTGCCAGGGAAAGGTCATGGTCAGGAAAGCAGAGTGCACCCTCTTTAGTGGTACTAGCTTAGCTGCTCATGTTTATGGAAGATTTTTTTTTTTCCTTTTTTTTTTTAAATAACCAGGTTGTGGGATCTTGGGTCCCGACTCAGGGATCAAACCTGGGCCACTGGCAGTGAAACTGTGGAGTCCTAACCACTGGACCACCAGGGAATTCACATGTTTAAGTTCCTTGTAAACACAGCAGTAGCTAAAAAGCACTTAAGCTGCCAGCACTATAGAAAGCCCAGCAACAATCCCTTTCTTCGTATTTAAATACTAGTAATACCAGAAATAACTTCTTCAAAATGGTCCAGTAATGTGTTTAGGGATGAAATCCTGGATTAGTATCTAGTGTGGCAGCTACCCTAATTTGACATCCAGGAGCTACTTCTCCTTCAGGGGATGACTCATGCCATCTTGGAGTCCTGTCGTTTGCTCCAATATGAACCCTTCCATGTTAAGCAAGGTTTGAGGAGTAAAGGCCTTTCCACATTCTTCATCTTCAAAGAGTTTCTCACACTATGAATTCTCTGATGCAGAAAAAGAGATGAATGTTTTCTATATATAAATGCTTTTCTATCTGATTATTTTATAACTTGAATCCAAATCTGTTCACCAGCTTCTTGTTTCTTTCCTCAAAATAATCCAGGATTCTTTCCCTAGCTCCAATATCACAATTATGTCTGGCTTAGAAATGCAGTGGGCCCACTGAGACCAAGTTACTACATTTCTCCATCATCACATCGCAGTACCATTTCTTCTGAAGAGGCTCAAGAAGTTTCCACTCATGCTGACAGAACTCTATGGCCACATCTCTGAATGTTATTGATCCACAGGCCATGGTTTTAGACCTGCAGGAGCTAATCAGTCCTTGGGCCTTTCCAGAAAAACACAGAGTCCTGAAAACCCAAACTGTCCCTTGTGGGCTTGGACTATCGCTGCACAGTTGTTTCCATGGCAACCTATCCCAGTTTCTTGCTTGGATCCAGTGTATTAAGGAGACTCAAATGACAGCCCCTTTGGCATAAATGATTCTCTCAGCAAGCAGACTTGTGGACCAGAGTGGCCT